TTTGGATGATTGGTAATGGATGCTCGGTGAATGTGTGGGATGATCCAAGGGTGGATAATGGCGACAGTCGATTCATCATTACACCTAGAGATGATTCGGTGACATATGTTAGTGAACTCATTGATCATGAAAGCGGAGAGTAGGATGTGGATCGCATCAACAACCTTTTCAACGACAGAGATGCAAGGAGTATTCTGGCTATTCCTCTTAGCTTGAGGGACGTATCGGATAGTATTTCATGGGCATTCTCAATGGACGGCAACTACTCTTGTAAAACGTCATATATGTTGCGAAAATCATGTGATCTTGACAAATTTCACAAGACTTGGGTTGACATTTGGAGCCTTAAGGTAACTCCGAAAGGTACGACACTTTCTATGGCGCATATGCACAGGTACCCTCCCTGTTAAAGCTTATCTCAAGTTCCGCCACATGACCGAGATTGATGACTGGCCGTGGTGTCCAGGCTCCCCCGAGACTGCTAGATATGCCCTCTTTGATTGTCATATGGTACGCAATTTATGGATTGATTGTGATTATTGTGAAATGTCTCTTTGGCCCTAAGATATAAACTTCTTGGAATTATTTGACTCTTGGCGCAATCTGGAAAACAAGAAGAAATGTAGGGGAGCTATTTGTTGTGGAATATTTGGGGAAGGAGGAATGAAATGATTTTTATAAATAATGACACGCACCACCCAATTATCATTGAGCGAGTATTTCGTCTTGCGGATGACTGCATTATTTGTGCTAAGAAGATCTATGGTGTGGCAAAGAGCTCGGTCAGAAAAAGTCCAAAGAAGTGGCTTCCCCCTCCTTCAGGTATCGTTAAATTGAATTGCGATGCCTCGTTGCGAGAAGAAGGCTGGGTGGGACTTGGTGTATTTGCTCATGATTGCAAGGGAGATGTCTTATTTGCAGCTACAAAGAAGACTCCGAGCATACTGGCCTACTGTCGTGGCTGAAGGGAAGGCAGTCTTTATGGTTGTTCGACTTGCTCGCAAATATGGGCTACTTAATGTTATTATTGAGTCGGACTCCCAGGTGCTTGTCAACAGATTATGCAAGGCTTCCATCTTCCTCACTGGTCTTGATACAATCTTGGATGACATTCTCTTCTCTAGCTCTGTCTTTAATTCGATTGTTTGGAGTCATGTAAAACAGGATGGTAACATTGTAGCTCACAATCTAGCCCATTTAGTGCCTTTTGGTTTTGAACAAATTTGGGAGAATCATAATCCTTGTGAGGTTTCTCCTTATATAACGATGGACAAATTATCAATATAAGAGACCTATAACTTTTCCAAAAAAAAAATAAAAAATAAAAAATAGTACGGTGCTTACCTGACATGTTGACAAAAGACAATTAACGTCCTAAAGTACTAAATTACCAATTTGTCAATGATTTTGCTCTAAGGATAAATATTGGAGTAAAAATAATACTCGAACTCTTTAAATTCAAAACTTCCCTCTCGTTTCAAATACTTGTCTTTTTTAATTTTCCTTCATTTCTTAATTTTGTCATGAAAGGTATCAACTGTTTTTCACATTTACCATCAAATCTAGATTTATCACTAGTCTCACTAGGGAATACCTTTATAAAACTTCTTTCAATTTTACCGCCTTTTGTTTTGTAAATACGTAAGTTACACAACCAGATAACAACATTCGTTCAAGTGGGACCCACTATTAGGTTTCTTTTGTTTTCCTTACTCCCTCAATTCAATTTTGATAAACGGGTCTGGGCCACATCCGTCACAAGTGTCCACTTTATACGACCAAAGAGGTTTCATCCCAAAACCATATGACAATGAGAAGAGTAGTTTCTTAGCGTTATAAAGTGAACACAACTTTCTCTTTTCTTCAATGTGGGATACACATTCCAATATTTCTCTTTACTTTTATACTTTTTCAATGTGGGACAACACTTTCACTCACATGTGGGTTTGCTCATGGGCTCAACACTCCCCCTCACATGTGAGTTGTTTATAATACTTGCCCAAATCACACCACAACCCAACCTGGGCTCTGATACCATGTCAAATACGGGTTAAGGTCCATTACAAGTGTCCATTATACAAGTCCAAGAAGGTTTCACCTTAAAACCATATGGCAATAGGAGGTTTGGCCCTTTAGCCATATAAAGTGTTTGACTCTCTCAACTTTAATCAATATGGGACACTTACATGTGTTATTTGGTAGGATATACTTCCACAAATTTTATAAAAATGCGACTAATAATTGTTCAAATAAGTTGAAGAATTAAAAAAAGTAAAGCAAAGTAAAATTTAAATAAATCAAGGATTCAAGGTCATATTTTTTCTAATTAATTTGGATAAGATACGTTCAAGCGAGATTGTCGAATAAAACATACCCTTATTACTCTAATTAAGTCCATCAAGTTATAAGTCTAGCTATTTAATATTGCAGGGAAAGATGGATGAGTAAAAAGACCTAAGCCATTTTGCAATTTTAACCTAGATAAAACGATATTTTCTTCGTTTCAAAGATGATACATTTCTTTTATCATGTTTGCCAATGTAAAAGTTCAATCGAAAATAACGAAGATTATTTTATCATAAAAAGTACTAAAAATTGAATTTTAATTAAGTACACGTTGAAATTAATTTAATAAGAATCCACATGACTATATGTTTTTTTATACCTATAAATCACAAATGTTAATCAAAGCAAAGTTAATGAATAGTGTCAAAAGTCAAAATGGGTCATCTAATTTGGAACGGAGAAAGTACTTCGTATATAAAGTATAGGTTGGTGTTAGTGACGTATACAGGATGAGTTCAAATGGGTTCGTTGAACCCACTGATTTTCTGAAAAAAAAGTTAAAAGTAATATTTATGTATTATTCGACAAGTAGTAGAAGCGCAGCTCATTTGTATTTTTTACTAACTATTAGTCTTGGAGATCAAAGGTTCGATCCCTAACGTCAACCTTAATTTTTTTGGGACAACAATCTACTACTCTAACTTTCTACTTTCTCATTTTTTCCCCCCAAATTCCCAAATTCTACAGCACTGCTCACGAGACCGGTGACCAGATTGTAGTCCGCCTCCCGACTTCCCGAGTCCGAGCCCAACAGCACACACCGCTAATTTGATTTTCATATACTTCGTATAGTTGATTATGGAGTTGGAATCTTACCTGTTTGAGTTTTTAATTGATAATTAACACATAATTGATAGTTTTTAATTCATGTGTCAAATTTGTGTATATTGGGATTTTTGTTTTAAAATCCCTTCCAATCCTTGTTAGAATTAAAGCCTATCATAATCCCTTATGCTTGGATCTCATAGCACATTGGCTAATAAATGGAGATTGTTATTCAGTATTTGTTTGTGTATATTAATAGCTTTTGTTGAAAAGTCCTATTGATCTGGAAACTTGGGTAACCTGATATGTCTTTTTTTTTTTTTTTTTTTTTTTTTTTTTTTTTTTTTTTTTTGTCATTTTGGAGATAGAACTTAGAATCGAGAATATTAGATTATTTAGAGATTTTAATAAATACTTTATTGATTTTTGTGTACTAGTATTATCGATTTACAATTTTTCATTTACTCTATAAAAAAACTAGAATGTTACAATGAATTTTACTTGATGTTAACATAGATTGTGAGGTTTTTACCATGAGTTTAGAGTCTTTTTGGAAATGTGTCCTAAAGTCTCAAAAGTCCTCCACTTGTTTTTTTTTTTTACCTAGTCCAAGGGATCCTCTAATAGAAGAATATATAATCCATTTGTAATCCTAAATTTGAACTTTCATGCTCGTATTGAATTCTTATTTAAAATTTTCATTTTTTTTTTACAATTTCGAATCCACTCTTCGAAATTCCTGGATACGCTACTAGTTGGTGTATGTATGCGACCGTGTGATACATAAGCAATTCAAGAAAATCCAAATTATTGAGTATAGTACAACAATTAAAAACACATAATTGAAGGAACATGCATGTAAATTTTTTTTTTTTTCTAAATAAACATGCATGCATATAACTTAGGTCCTATCATGATCAACCTTATATATATCTACTTATTTCATGAAAAATGAGTTCAATTACGAGTTAATTCAAGAAAAACATTCAAATACAGAGTACATAATAGGGTGACTATAAATATGTTTTGAATTGCTATTTAAATTTATTTTACAACTAAAATAATTCATATAAATTCAAATATGTGAAAAGCAAATGAATAAAAACGCATACATATAGAGTGACTATGGATTTTTTTCCTGACTTAATATGCCTTAATTTAGAACTTATATAAACATATTAGGATATATTTTTTAAAGTTAATTTTCACTTATTTGAAGTTTTGAACAATAATATCGCCTGAACGTATCTTGTACTTATTTTAGGTATAATCTGAAGATAATTAAACTTATTTTTCACCAAACTTATTCTTCATAAAACAAGTGAAAATAAGATGAATTAAACATGGACTAAAACTTACTGCGTATTAAAATAAGTTGAATATAACACACCGAATGCAAAAACGTAATGTATAAACTATAAATACACTCTTTGGATGTAAAACCATTTGAAACGCAAAGCAAGGGTCCTACATAAAATAATGTAGACAAATCACAAAGGTTTGGCAATTTGGCAATTAAGGTAGCAAGCTAGAAATTCAAAAGTCTAACAGTATTAGTTATTTATATATTTAGATATTGTCCCTAAAGTGCACCCCAGCTCACCTCGTAGAGTATAAGGGACTGTGAGCCCTCAATTTGCCGCTAATCAAGCCCAACTTGGAACCCAACTCATCACACCTCACCCCTTTTTCTTTCCTTTTTCCAACTGCTTCTTATCCATCATTATATTTACACCCTTTCAATCATTTTTATTGTTGCACTACATTTGCTCTACTAAATATTGCCCATTTCTTCCTTAGATATAAAACCCAACACTCCCACATACATTTTAAATTGGGTAGTCGGAACTCGGAAATATCAGTCGCTAAAAACCCAAGTTTTTTAAAAAATGATACAAGGGTGTTTTAGTAACCCCGGGAGTCCGGTGTCAAACAGAAGCAAAAATGTACAGGCAGCAACAACGTCATCGTCATCAAAAGAGTCTCTTATTACTTGTATATATCAAACTCGGTTGATTGACTCACCGATTTATCTTACACTCACTTGGTCAAGAACGCCTTACTCACATTCCCTTACTATCCATGCTCCTGATTTGTTTTCCATTACAATTTCTCTCCAACCATCTACCTTCTCTATTTTCCGGACCCGGCCCGGGTCCAAATCCATTCAGCTCAACCAAACCCATGACCATCAGAACCAAAATGAGAGTCAACCTAAGATTAAGTTATACTATGACTTTACTCGAGCCGAGTTCGCTCAGCCAAACTCGGCCGAGCCAGAGTCAAGATTTTACTTGGCATTTATACGAAATGGCCGGCTTGAGTTCCTCCTGGGTGATCTCCGGGAGGACTTATCCCGGAGAGTTGGACTCGACCGAGTTGACAACAACTCGGCCGAGTCCACTCTCCTGTCGAGGAGGGAGCACGTATTTGGGCGTAGAATCTACGCAACACGGTCTGAGTTCCTGGGTTCGACTCGTTCGATCGAGATCGAGTGCTCGGGAGGAACACTAAAGGTGAAGTTCGATGGAGAGTTGAAAGTGAACGTAAAAAGATTAGCATGGAAGTTTAGAGGAAATGAGAGAATGATGGTTGATGGAATTGCGGTGGAATTTTATTGGGATGTGTTAAATTGGGTTAATAATAACAATAATAATCATAATAATGGAGGGAATTTAATGGGTGCTCAGAAAAATGGGGTGTTTGTTTTTCAAGTGGGTGAAGGTGGGGTTTGGCCGGAAATGGTGGGGCCAGAGAAGAGGTTGATGAGGAAGAATTCACCCGCGCCGGGGACAGCGTTGTCCCCAGCCGGGTCGTGTTCTAGTGTATTGCAATGGGCGGAGGAGAGTAGTGATTGTGGGAGGAGTTCTTCGGGTTCGTCTTCGACGACGCGGTCGAGTGGTAGTTTCGGTGGTGGTGGTGGTAATGGTGGTTATTCTTTAATTTTGTATGCATGGAGGAGAGAATAGTTTTTATTTTTTCATTTTATTTAAATTTTTCTGAAGAATAATTTTTTTTTTTTATATTTTTGGGAGGGAATTCTCAAATTTTACTGAATTGGTAGTAAGATTTGTGTTTAAAAATTCTCAGAGAGTACTGTGTACAGTTTCTTGTTGTTTAGGGTTTAATTTAGACTTTATTTTGAAGAATTTGCATAATGTTTTCTTGGCATTCTTCTAATTGTTCAACACAAAAGTTGAAATGTGGTAGTAAAATTCCTTGTACAAATAAAGAAGGATTAATGATTTTACTACATATGTTGAATTCAATAAGTTGTTTTCCATTGTTTGATTGAACTTGTTACATTGCTTTAATTTAAGTTTCGATTTCGGATTTTCGATCAATGCAACGCCATAGTTATATACTTCTACAATGGCTTTAATCAAATTTGATAAACAAAGATGGGTTCATTAAACCAGTTGCTTGCTTGCTTAACAGAGAATTTTGCAACTTTTTGTTCAAGGTATTGCGTTGCCTTCAAGAAGAAGATACAATGAAGTTGCTACAACATAACAATTAAATTAAGTACTCTTTGATTTCCAAAAAAAAAAAAAAAAAAAAAAAAAAAAAAAATTTAAGTACTCTGTAAATACAGTCATACAGGACAGTACTGCGTAGTACGTTAGTGATGGACCATATTTACCGTACAGTAAATGCTACTGTATGAAATACTACACTCATTTTCAAATTTGTTTAGAGGAAATACTTGGTTTTCTACAAGACAAAATCATACTACATGGATCACTTTTGTCTTGTCTTTTGATTGTAATCCACTCAATTTTTTTCCAAAGTAGTTTGAATAGGAAAAAAAAGGTTATTTGATGATTAACCTTACAAACATTCATGATTTTGATTTCCCTCTTTACCAATAACAAATTAACGTCTTAAATAGGTTTACATAAGACCAATATAGCCTATATTTTCTACCGGTAATTTACAATAATGTAAGTATCGACAATAGCATTTTCGAACGATATAACTGAAGAAAGGGGTAAACGACATAGTCCGTATATGAACAAGCTTGACTAGCTAACTAGTTCTCCATTTAACACCAGGGGTGCTTATGATGCGAGTCGAGTTCGAATTTGGGGTATCTCGACTCGACTCGTTAACAAATCGAGTCGAGTTTTAACCGAGTTTTGACTGAGTCAATCTCAAGTAGCTTGCTAATTGATTCGGTCGTAGTAGAACATTTGTTACTACTCTTTATTTTTATATTATAAAAGATATACATATGATGATATGAGTATATATATATATATATATATATAATTAAGTTTTTGAATAATTTTTATTTTATTTTTATTAAATATAATAATAAATAAAGAAATTTGAGTTTCTCACAAGTTTTTGAGTCGAATATTGAGCTACTCGACTCGACTTATTAACATTTCGAGTCAATCTTGATCTCGAGTCGAGTTTTAACTGAGTCGAATTCGAATAGTCCGCAAGTTGTCTCGTCTCATAAGCACCCCTATTTAACACCACATGAAGTGATAATGTCACTCATACTATGTTCGTTTCACCAAATCTAATGTAGTTTGCAAAATTCAAGTAGACAATAGAAGAATTGAATTATATTCAAATACATCCAAAAATGTGTTCATATGAATACAGGGAAAAAGGGACCCACCGAATATAGAAAACACAAGAGCCACATAATGATTAGTAGTTGAATGCTCCATAACAGAGCTGCAGCCGCGCATGGACGATGCAACTTTTTTCCTGCCTTGGATTCTCAAGCAACTACCATCAACTTTTATTCCCATCCAAAAAAATTAAAAATATATTAGAAAAATAATATTTTTATACTCTCATATTCAAAGACTTTCTTTAATTTGTCATTTTATTCTATTTTATTTTTATTAATTAAATTTTGGGAGGGTGAGCTTGTAGTCTTTTTCAAATAGACAGTTGGATGAGGAAAAAGATCCAAATAGTAAAAGCTACAAACAGCCTTTTGTTTTTGTTTGCATAATAATCCGGATTTTATGGGACCATAAAGCAACTAATTATCTCACTAATGCTTCGTTGTTAGCCTATGATTAATAGGCTACTAAACAAGTTATAATGTTGCTTTCATGATAAATTTTCTACTCATTACTTGGACTTGGAAATTTTTGTTAGGAATGTCTAATCGGGTGACTTGGTGGGTATTGTTTCACATCGATTCAATCATGGCCGTAATAGACATTTACGGAGCATTTAGTAGGTAATGGGGCGAATATGATTCTAAAACAAAAGTATTCCTTGTAGATTCCATTCCTCCTAAATGTTTGCCTCATACACCAAAAATGGTCGTCCCTAAAAGATTGCTTATTTGCTATTTATTTTATTATAAAAACCCCACTTTTGATCCCACTACTTTTGTCTCTTAAATTCCATTTAACCAAAGAGTATGATTTTGAATTGTATTCATCTTATACACACCTGCCTTGGGCTTTCTATGATGTACATGTATTTGAGAGGAGTAAAGTTGTGTCTGGATTATTTCAAACATCATTCTCTGAACTGTTTGAATTGCATGTTAATAACTTTATTTTTTATTTACTTACCAAGTAGCACACTGCAGTACTGCGTAGAGATTGCTTAAGCAGAGTTTCACATCTCTCGCCATGCGCAGTGACTAAGGTATTACAGTGGCTAACATAGAGCACGTAACAGTCGAACACAAACAATACGCTGCATCTCAACTTTCCAGGCCCCAGTAAAATTAAATTACATTATGATTCAAAACATCAAAACAGCATATCCATGGATATTATATGTATTATAAAGCTACAACGTTCAATATCAGTTCTAACTGGCTACACATTAGTACATCATCTGCAGCAACTTTATGAAACAAAAGCCACAAGTTTCCAGCCTTAACTTAGCCATCGTCTTATACACAAACTAGAGCTAGGATAGAAAAATAATGCAGAGCACTGACTTTAGACGGTGCCTTTTATACAGGTTTTCCTACATATGAAGCAAAACAAATGCAGCATCATTGATGCTTGTTCTATGGAAAAGTATATGCTTAAGGAAGCTTCACACAGTAATAATATTTCGAACAGTTTATCAGAGGGAAGAATTGCTCAGCTTCATAACTGATATTGCCATATGCCAATATAAACATATCTGACAGTGAGACTAGTCCCTGCAATGGCAATATGTAAAAATTAAGGGGGTGTTTGGTAAAGAGTTGATGATTGAAGTAAATAAGAGTAGATTTGGAATGTCTCTCTACTATTTGAAAGTGCTTGGTAAAGAGTAAATTGGAATATGAGATTGTGGTGATTCTGGTGAATCTACTCGTTTAAAACATGCTAATAATTGGAGCATATTATATTGTAGAAAATATATTAAAGGTATGCTTTAAAAATTAAACAACCCCTAAGAACAATAGTTGGGGTAATAGGACCTAAAAGGTGTAATCGTATTATGAGATAGCTACCTATTATTTCCAAAAGTGGCACCCAAACAAATAGGAGAAGTATAGGATGAAAACAGCTAGCTCAATTCCAGGGTATTACTCTATCCATTTAAGCTTAAAATTACGTCACAGACTTGTGAGCTAGTGGTCAATCTATTCAAAAACATAATAGCTTCATCACTGATCACAGGATTGGTGTAACAAACTTAACAGGCCACAACACATCAAGATGCTTTGGCTACTATGGGTTCTGGCATAACAGACATCAGTAAACAATCGTAAGAAAGTTGTCAGTTTCTTAAAATGGTATGCAGCTTCCCAAGATGACCCTTTCCCGAAGACTTTTCATCCAACATGAATTCCTCATATGAATCCCTAAGCCAAGGCTTTTTAGTCACATCCTGTTTCATGTTTTATGGTATTCATAACTCCATTATTGCACAGTTATTGTTATATCTTGAAAAAACAAAGCAGAACGCTATGTAAATTTGTAGATGAACAGTCCGTCAAGAAAATCACCTACATGACTTACCTCATAAGAATCTGATAGGATATCTCCCATGTAAGTTTATACTATTGCTTAAACATGGCTGTCACTTGAGAATTAGTGAATTACTTGATCAATCCTATGGTCTTCTGAAACTAGGAGTGAATATCTGCCCGACTGCTTCAACTGCAGAAACATTCCACCTTTCCACATGTTTGACAATCTGTTCGATTAAAAGAAATGTTTAAGCTATCTGAATTCTGAATACATCGCTTCTGAGATGTATAAGAGAGATCTATATACTCACTTTATATTCATCATTTAGATCATAGGTTGTGCTTCCTTCAATGGCAATCAGAGGCTTCCATGGAAGCTTTAAGTAGGTCCTTTCAGAAACACAAAGTGAAACTTTTACAATAGGACTAAAGTCTTTTCACTATAATTAAAACAAGAAACAAAATAGCTTCCATAATGTTAAGGACTCCTCCAATCTCTGACATAAATCCAGTGGAAAATACTTAGTCGAACACAAAAGCTCAAAACACATGGAACAACTAAATGCTTCTGCAGAATAGATGCTAAAATCGTCATCAGATTCTACTCATTCATCTATAACTCAAGATACATTAGATATACAAAGTTTTAGACGAATGACTGATCAATTGTCAGGCTAACTTGCAGATTTTCATGGTTGATCATGAAAACCAGAATACATCAATTTTAATACAAATGTACATAGTTATTTCCACATCTGCAAAAGTGCACAATACATCTTTCAAAAAAGTGACCATCAATAAGCTACATGGAGATCATTATTACTCTAATGCCTCTAATGAGTCTACCGACCTTGGCAGGGTAAGGGAAATGAAAATGTAAACATTTGCCCCACAACAACACAGTATGGTTTCAATTAACCCTAACTAATATTCAGATATTGCACTTACTCTTTGAAGATCTAACTCAGGCTACTCAGCCTATGTAAATTTCACACATTTTCCAAGCAACCGTCCCTAGAACAATTCATGTTTAGAAACCGTCTGATAGGACCGTAAATGCATAAACAGAAGTACTGACCAAACTGGAGTATATGACATAATGAACATACCAACAATGCTGATATCATTTACAGGACAAGTATATACTGCTATCAGAGGGAAATGAAACTTTATGGAAAAAGAATAGGCCCCTAAGGAAATGGAGCATCTAGTGTTGTTATATTGATGGCATGTAATAAATAGAAGAGTAACAAAGGCAGCATAAAGAAACACATTGCTAAATCAAGATAACTTGGAAAATCTTAAAAGGATTCCAAACTGAACAAAAAGAACTAAGCACCTTAAGCTCCAAGTTGCCAAAACAAAATCTCTCTCAGCATCAACGCCCTGTGTTAAAGAATTACCAGAATCATTAGCAAATCCGCAATGGGGAACAGGGTTCTACTCGTAACATAAAAGCCAGTTAAAAAAATAGTATGAATGAAATCCCAATAAAAGAAAAGGCATCATGTCAAAGCAATGATTATTCATTCACAAGGCAATTAGTTATGGTTATATCGGGTGACATTGAAACCTCAAGTTGGTGAAACTAATTTCCCAACAGGACATATAAATCACATAACAGGTTTTAGGGTAATCCCATTGAGGAAAGAACATGAAAAGGGGTAAAATTAACCAAATAGATACCAAGCAGCAGAATACTTTAATACCCTTCCCTATCCTAAATGCCCTAAACCCAACAGCCCCTATGTGGCGATTAAATTCAGCTACTGGTGACTTTGCGAGTTCATGAGTGAAGATGGAACATCAGATATTCGATCAAATAGGAACAAAATGATATGTGGTTTGACTTAACAAGTAGACTTATTTCTTTTATGAACTAGGGGCCACCAAGCTATCTTAAGAGCTGCATCTTAAGCATCGGGGTATAGAATATTTAAAGTACATTTATGTGTGTGCATGATATATATAATCTCTTGAAGAGAACCAACTATGCGAGATTCATTGTTGAAGGTGAGAGTGGAGTGACAAAGGAAATCAGTCAAGAGAATGAGCAGTGGAAAATGAAATACAGTACCCTGCTGATTGACATTTGACATGAGGCAGAAAGGCTTCATTGGAACGTACATAGAAAAAAGTTTGTCTACAATTTATAAAGTCGGAGTGCCAGGTCAGGGATTTATTTATTTTTCTCCAAGTACAAGACCAGTTTGTTCAAGAAAGGGTGCAACCGAAAAAGAGAAGACTATCAATGATTCAATACCACACAATTTAAAACTTTACAGAACCAAAAAGGAAGTAAATACCTTCTCAATGCTTTTGAGTACAATAGAGGGTTGCTCAAAGAAAGGTACAAGCAATTGCAAGTTCCGTGAATACAACTCTCTACCTGTTTAACCGAAACAAGTAACCAATTTATTCTAGTAACTTGGTGGTGCAATATGCTCGCATTAAAACATATGATTCATGCAAAACCTTGAAGCCCCTGACCAGGAAAAAAAGAGAGAAAAGACAACATGTAAACAATCAAAACCCCCAAGATAGAACCTTCAGCTAGAGGCATTAACTGAAGCCCTTTCAATAAAACCTCCAGCTACAAGAAGGAAAAAAATAAATAGCTCATAGCAAAGTCAAACACAACTGCAAAATAATATCAAGCATTCATCCATCTGTTACCAGAGGCTGTAAAGTCCATTACCATGAAATTTAATAGTTGGATCCTCAAAAAGACAATCCTCGATATACATTGAAGAGGTAAAAATCCCTGCATCCAACAAACAATGTTATCAGCTCTCAAATAGTCAAGTGTGCTTGTCGGTGTGTGTCTTAAGAAATCAAACCATATTATCAATCAAAAGTCCAAGAACAAAACCAATCAGTTGCAGGCAGCCAGGCATTCAAAAGGAGGATCAAATTATTGGCACATGAGTCATCAATATGAACAAATACACCAAGTATCACTTACAAGCATATGAATGATCACATATACGAAGATTATAGGAGTTTCCACGATAACCACAGGCCTCATCCTGAGCATGGACAATATCAAGATGCATACAATCTGCTCAACAAATATAGCACAAGAATTTCTACCTTGTAAAACAGCACACTATTAATCATGGTTTCAAGAGTCAAATAACATCATCCATAACTACTAGCAAAACTTCTGTATCCCACATTATGTTTACAATGAAATAGTTGAGTTTATGTGTTCAGTATAATTCAGCATATACAAAATAAAAAGTTTCACTGAATTAAAATCAGAGAGAAAGCATTATAAATGCACAAAGCAAGGGAAAATTCACCTGTAACAAAATATGCATTATCATAATCTGACTTGAGAATACCCAAAACATCATCCACCCCAGAAATTAATAAATCCTCTTCCCCTTTAGCAACCACCACATCCATTCTACAAACATAAAATGCTCAATTAACTTATCATTAGAGAAACGAAAAATTGACACCATCCACTTTTAAAAGGTCCCGACTTTAGATTAGCTTAAAATTGCACACTATAGGGGTCTAAACACACTAAATTGTAACAATAGTTGGGACGGGCGGTGAAAATTTTTCAACAGGGAAAAAAAAAAAAAATCAAAACCCTTAATTCTCAAAGTAATTGAAATTATAAAAAAGGGAAAATTTGGGCAACCTGTTACTATTGAAGGAAGAGAAAAGCCTGAGAAATTCAGTGACCCCATTAACGGCAAATTTAAGAAGCTGGGGAGTTTGTTTCTTTGAATTGCGGTCAGTTGATAGGTTTGAATTGCAGAAAATTCTGGTATTGGTGATCTGCAAAAATGGAAAATTAAAGAGCAGAAAGATGATTATTGAAAAAGAGAAAGATTAGAAAATTTAATTTGGAAACAAAGGGCTTGAATTAGGCTGAAATGAAATTACTTTGGACAGTCTGGAGTTGTAGGATGTTGAAATAACGCCGGTGGAGCAACAAATTCCCGCCATGTATTTCTATTGATTGGGTTAAATAGCTTCCCAACTTAGATTTAGTTTTGGCTAGATTTGGTCATTTGGTCCAATTATTTCTGGCTACATACACCCTCTACAAAATGAGTTTTTTTTTCGTTTTTTTTTTTTACGGAAATATAATTTGACTAATTAATATTTTCCGTTAATCTTTTATCTTAAAGTTACTCTCACATCTACATTTAGTTGAATAGAGACATTCGTTAATCGTTCATCTTAAAGTTACTCTCACAACTATATTTAGTCGAACTGAGCCATATAATAGTTTATTTATCACATCATAACACACATCTTCTTATTAGAGATATCAACATATAGTTGGTACCATTGTAATGATCATATCTTGTTATCTTTATTTTGGTACATAGTACATTACATTGGGATATATTGTTATACAAAAATCATTGATATTATCTTTTACAATCTTCAATATCATCATCTTCTCATTAAAGACCAAGTGAGTTGATCATTGTATATCCTAGTGTTTGTGTGTTGTATACATAATCCTTATATCCTTAATATAATTAGTTAGATAAATCTCTATCTTTTAGCTAGTTACCTTGTATTATCACGTACTTCTTGTGTGGATTATTATTCTCACTTCTTATGTAGATTAATTAGAGTTTGAATCCTATCATATCAGAAATACCTCCTGTATTACAAAACGAGGGTCACCATTTTCATCGACTTCATGACTCTAGCCAACTTTAATTTTTAGAGATGAAGGGAGTATAACTAATTAACCATGGCCGATCACCCCACCACTACCACCCAACCTCTTAAGTTCATTACGGGCTCCGACTCATACGGTTGCACCCTCAAAGATGCTCTCGTTTCCCACCTCCGCTTCCTCAACATAGAAGTCGAAGACCTCGGAGTGGCCCCATACTACTCCATGAGTGAAAATATAGGCCAGCGAGTGGCCGCAGGAGGTGACACAACCCGTGGCCTTCTCGCTTGTGGAACAGGCGTCGGCGTCCAAATATTCGCCAACAAAGTCCCCGGAGTTTACGCCGCTACGAGGCCAAGAACACCCGGTCCATCAACAACGCCAACGTCCTAGCTGTATCCGGCATGTCAACTCCACTCGAAACCGGCATCGAAATCCTTAACACCTTCATCAACACCCCCTTCAAGGCCCCCTGCCTTGCCTCCAACAACAAGGAATGGGACCATGAATCAGAAGGACAGAGAGTTTGTTCCTGTGGAGAGGGAAAATGAAGATAGTAAGGCAAAGTCCAACATCAGCTATTATTTGATTCGAGGCCGGGAGTGTGGAGCTTCGGGCATGACTTGTTTGTGACAAAAGGGAAGAAAATAGTGTGGAATTTGAGTAAAAATGAGAAGTATGATCGGAGTGATGGAGATTATTTGTATACACCTGCTGGAGATATTCATAGGGTTAAGTATTTGGAAGATACCGAGTTTTTTCTTTAGTGGGATGAAGATCTTGAATCTGCTAAGGCTGCTATTGCTAATCAAGATTTCTGAAGGCGAAATCGGAGAAATTATTTATTTTTTTTTGGAGAATTTGACATTGCATTCACATCTTCTGATTCTAATTATATATCATCTTATGGGTTTTGTAGATAATTAAAAATGTATTATTAATAAAATTATTGTTATGTGTCTACATTCTCGGTGTTTCTATGTGGCTGTCTTAATATCTTTCAACAAAAAAAATGTGGCAGTGTTAATATTGTGGGAAAATTCTACCATAGTCAGTCTTAAAATGACTACTTCCATTCTTAATTCTCATTGGTCGATTTTTGATTTATTTTTATGTTTGGTCAAATTTCTTTTTTTTAATTTTTTTCTTTTTTTTTAATCATTTTTTTATTTTCGAAAATTATTTTCTGATTTTTGGATAATATTTTTTTATTTATTTTCATAATAGTTATTAAAATAAGTTTTTAATAAAATAAAAAAAATAAAGATTAAATTAAGGAAATCAAAATCAAAATATTGTTCTTCATTCTTTTTTTTAATGTTCTTCATTCATGGATGAAATTAACCACCATTATTGTAACCTTTGTCCTGTAAAAACACTCACACATCAATGAAAATTGAAAATATGCATCGATCTACATATTATAGGTGAATTCTTTCAAAATTGGGATTCACGTGCAAATCTAGATTTGTTTTTAATCCTAAAACAATAAATGTTAATTGGACAATCGCAATCAAGGGATGCAAAGTCGGCCATTATATGTATGCGAAAATAAAAATTATCAAAATTTCAAAATTTGGGTTCGTGAGGCAAATCGGAGAAGACAATCGCGATTTTTGTTTTGGAATACCTGTTTGATCTAAAAAAAATGTAATTTTAATTTCTGTTTGTTTATAAGACATTAACCCAAATGCTAATAGGAGATTACCTATAAAACGCAGTATTATTGTTTATTTTGTCTACGACCATACATTATTTGAACATTGTTAATTATTAGTTTATAATGCATTAATATCTTAATATTTTTCTTAATTGATAGCAAATAGGGTTGTGGTCATCACTAACCAAGTCACAATGTATGTTTACCAGGTTTGATTTCAATGATTACTTATGTATCTACTATTGTAGTTTGATTTCTGTATGCATGCATATGCCTCAAAATTAAATTACCTCTCAATCAAACCACCTTTAGAGCAATCTAATGACAACCTAATCGTCAAATTAGATGATTATCTTCGTATCTATCGTGTGACCCAATGGTTGGATATTACGGAGTTTGTTACTCGTATTAATTAAAATAATGAACCTTCTTTTGTTTATTATTATGACTTTACAATTTAAGGAGATTGAGACCAGTTCTAAATATATAAGTAATGTCATATCCTAATATTGGATGAATTCTTTATACTAACCAAATGAAAAAAAAAAGTGGAATTAAAGCAATTACAAAGGAAAACATTTAAAAAAAAAGGATATTTTAGATTTTAACACCTGACAAAAACCCGAAAATGGTTTTTAACACCCCAAAAAAAAAACTTTTATTTTAACACCAGACAAAAACTATAAAAATAGTTTTACCACCACTTAACGGTTTCCGTCCAAAAATTCCATTAAGTGGGGTACACAGTGATACGTGTCACCATTTTACTTGTTTTCAAAAAAAAAAAAAAAATGTTATATAATATATGTATTTAGTGGATGTCCATATGATAATTCTAGAATATTTTAGATGTACTATGTTTATTATGCTACAAGGAAACCCTAATTGTATCACATGTATATATACATATGTACTCCCACATCATTCAGAAATAAGAATATAGATCTATTCTCTCCCCTATTTTCTTCCCTTTTTCATAACACGTTATTACCACCAAAGCTCGAAATAATTAATAACTCTTTTGATTTCTATACATATACATAATTGCTAACTTCCCTCAATCAGCCGTTTTCCATAATGTTTCTCTCCTCAATCTTTTCTCCTTCTAAACTAAAACTCTGCAACTCTAAATTTTCTAGATCGTCGTTTTGAGATTTGAATAATGAGTTTCTGTCAAAATAATCGGACTCATAATTCAAAGACTACATTTTCAGTATGATTTGTTTTGTATTCGTTAATGGCTAATCTTCAAATTGGATTCGTTTTGCCAACTAGATTACGTGGCGCTCGGCGAAACGGAGACGACCGATTAATACGGGAAAACATATTCAACTGCTCTTGATTTGCATTGCAATGATTTAACCCAACCAGCCGCCATTAATTGAAAAAAAAAAAAAAAAAAAAAAAAAACGACGAAGCTTTTTTGAATTTTGGGGGGGTTATAGGAAGGTGAATTGGATTTCTGGAATCATCTGATGGTGAATGTGGGGTTTGAATTTGTGTCTCCTAAAAGTATTTTGAAAATTGAGGAGAAGAAGAAGAAGGTGTGAGGTTTGAGGAATGAGTGGAGTTTTAAGTCTGTATTTGGAAGGAAAAGGAAGAGACAAACTGAAATACAGACGGCTAATTTTATTAATGAGGATTGCGCGACGAAAAGCTATTCGTAGTGGTGGTGTTATCACACAGTTCATTATATGCAAGAAAGTTATTTGGGTCCAGCGATATATTATACTTCCGTCACTTTACTGGTATCCCTATATTCTTTTCTCCATATTTTACTGAATTTATCAATTATTGCCCTTCTTGAAATAATATAATTATAGGTTATTAGACTAGTTATTTGATTGATTTAATTTATATGCGCCATTTTTTATTGAAAGGAAATACGAAATTTATTAAATTTGGGATATGGCTATTGATTTGTTTCAGCTAAGTTGTCGTATTTGAATATGGCTAACTATTGATTTGTTTCGACTAATTTGTCTTATTTGAATAGCTATAATTTTGGAGAATGAAATCGGTGGTTTCATCATCAATCTCTGTTGAATTATGTGATGATCGTAGTATATTGATTTTATTTATTTTCAGGTTTAAATTCTCGGACATGATGATCTAATATACACAACCTGCTGCTTCCAATTGTGTGTGGTTTACCATCACCATAGAGTGTTCAAGCATATTAATTATGAACTATTTTAATAGCTGTAGATTATTTATAAGATGTTAACTAAATCCTTCTTGAATTAGGCACCAAAGCTTGATTGTTAGATATGTGTCATAGGATTTAATGAAAACCCAAGTACTTTTATTCTATGATAAAGCTGAGAGTTTTTCATTCATCACTTCTTTAGTACCCACTAGCTCATACAGAGTATTGAATTGAAGATAGCAATTTTTGTGGTGTCCCTTGTTTCTTTTGATGTTGAGTGAGTCTGTGAATATCAGGAAGGTGTGATTTAGAGAAAATGGTTGTTAAGCGTGTGATAAACTATGTTACAAAGTATTAGAATCGCATTTGGTTGGATTAGTTATTTCATTGGTTTTGGTCGATATAAAGAATAATCTTAGTTTTAACTTGGACAAGTTTGGTTGCTTCTTATTGTTTACTTTGTATTTGGTTTTATAAAGGTATTATAAACGAATTATGCTATTATAATAATTGTGTTTATATCATGATTATGCCTATTGATTACTACCAGACTTGATTAGCTTTATCGCATGATATTTTTTTGTGAATGTGATATGTTACTATTAATAATCTAAGGTTATTAATTACTCATGATAGTTTATAAATTATGAATATATTTATCTAAGCTAATTTCTAATTCATCGTTTATAATATTATAAATTTCCCAAGGTATGTTTATTTTATAGATATAGATGGCATGTGTTTGGTATATTACTATATTGGTGTATTAAGTTCAATGAT